CGAGAGAAGGTACCTGAGGAGCCCCTTAGGTACCACCATTCAGATCAGGCTGGATAATGTGGGTACGGTCACTGTCCCTGCCCCCGCCCCATCCTCTAGTGCTGACAGGGAAGGGTAGGTCATTTCTCCAACCAAAGCTCCCCACTCTCCCACTAAGACCCCTTCCTTTCTCTGTCTGTGCTTTTTGTTTCCCATGTCACTCCAAAACTGAGGGTCTTGGTTGCTTTAACAGCAGATGTTTGTGGTCGCTTGTTTTTGTTGGGTCTCAGGGAATTTTTTTTTTTGAGGGGCTGGGAGCTTCATTCAGTTTCATTTCTTGCACATTGTCATTGTTCGGTGTTGTTTGGACTTTTGTTTCCTACAATCATTTGCATGGTGTTCTTACTCTGTGACCTTGATTATGAGCAAACCTTTGGCTTCCAGAATTTAACAAACCCTCAAACTTTCTGCATGAGCGTACCTTTAACCTGACAGAATGGGTGTGTACCTCTCCCCAGCACCTTACACCCTCATGCCTGTCTCCGCACAGCCAGAGCTCATAATGATCTGCTGTCTTGCTGGCAACTTTTTCAACTGATACCAAGCACCTTGTGTGAAAACAGACGCATATATTCTTATTTCATTGTGCATTTTTGATCCTCATCCTTCTGTCCTCTCTTAGCGGTGAGGAGGAGGTAGCCCACGGTATGAAGGTATGGAGGAAGGCTCTGAGTGAGGTCCGCAGTGCCGCCCAGTTGGCAATGTGCATCCAGCAGCTGCAGAAGTCTATCGCTTGGGAAAGGTCTATCATGAAAGTGGTAAGAAAAATCTCCAAAGATTATAGACAAACCTCAGGAAGAACTTTTTTTAATGGTTGGATTTGTCTTTTTAGTACTGTCAGATGTGCAAAAAGGGGGACAATGAGGATCTCCTTTTGTTGTGCGACGGCTGTGACAAAGGGTGTCACACTTACTGTCACAAACCCAAGATCACCAGCATCCCTGAAGGAGATTGGTATTGTCCAGCCTGCATTTCAACGGTATGTCATTGTAAATAGTATAATCAGGCTCATACCATTTAGTTTTGATTTTTAGGATCCTGTAGGATCCGTACCATCGATCACATTAAAAAAAGATGCAGTGATTTCCAACAGTTTCCACGCCACGTAATTGTTTACAATTCGAAAATTGAGTTGCTCAACATAACTTTCAGGCTCAACAATTTTAAAGATTTTGTGTATTAACTGTTCAATTTCACAGGCAAGTGGTCCGTCCCCAAAGACCAAAAAGCCTCCAGCCAAAACTGTAGCTTCTAGTGGAGGAAGCAGCAAAAAAAGCGGGGAGTCCAAGAAGAACGTGAAGCAGACAGGTAATGGGGAGGTATCAGAGGAGGATTCAGTCAGTGCCAGCAGCACGCCCAAAAAAGGATCAAAAGACACCAGCAGGAAGAGAAAAACAGAGGAGGCTTCACCTGCTCTGTTACCAGCCAATCAGGAGAGCCCTGTGTGTGTAAAACGAGCCAAGACGGCAAGAGACAACAACAGGGACCTGGGATTATGCAGGTATCTGCCCTTGGCATGTTCGCTCTTGTCTTTTGTTGTTGTTGTTGTTGCATGGTTCTTTAAAGTAACTAAAATCATCAGACATTCTTTGTTGTAATCTAGAGCTTGTTGCTTCACCAAAACCAATTCTTGTCTTTGCGTTTGTGTTCCCAACAGAGTACTTCTCGCAGAGTTGGAGCGGCATCAGGATGCGTGGCCTTTTCTCACGCCTGTCAACCTAAAATCAGTCCCTGGCTACAGGAAGGTCATAAAAAAGCCGATGGACTTCTCCACTATACGTGAGAAGCTTGTGAGCAGCCAGTGAGTTCCCAACGCTTCTATTTGTTCTTTTTCTTCCTTTAAACCTGCGGGGGATTTCCATGTATTTTAAAGCCAGTTTTTCAGGAAGAAACTTGCTGGAACAACTGAGAAAATGCTTTATCTGCTTTTACAGGGTGTTTCTGTAGTATGAAATGAGTATGGCTAAGTCTCTTCATTATGAAAAAGAAAACAGGATGTAGAAGAAACTTTCGTCCATATAGTTTGTGATTTTTATTGATTCCGTGTTTGAAGGCTAAGATCTGTCGTAATACCTTTTATACAGAAATGAGGTTTATTGGTAAAATGTTATGGCTTAATGCTTGTTTTCCTTTATTTCAGGTATCAAAACCTGGAGACTTTCATCATTGATGTCAACTTGGTCTTTGATAACTGTGAAAAATTCAATGAAGACAATTCGGACATTGGTCGAGCTGGTCATAACATGAGGAAGTTTTTTGAGAAGCGCTGGACTGAGCTTCTGAAGCAAACAAACTGAACTGTTCAGACTCTCCTTGTGAACCCATTCAAACTTTCATACGGAACACCAGGTTTTCTTTTCTTTTTTTCTTTTTTCTTTCTTTCTTTTTTCTGACGGAGTTTGTGGCTTTTTGCAGGATGGAAGAAAAAGTCGGCTCCTTCATAAGGAATCCATTGTGTGCTTAAGAGAGATATCACCATACAAAAAAAAATAAAATAAAATAAAAAAAAAAATAAAAAAAAAACCATTGTTACATGAGGTGCGCTGGATTTATTACAACAGGGATAAAAGCCCCAAAGAGTCCCAGAGAAATGGGGTGTCCTAGTGCAATACCATTCCCTGTCTCAGAACACTGCACTGAATGAATCCTCAAATGTCACTGATGTATCTCCGCTAGAATACTTTCCACTACCTGTACATAGTCTTTTGTTATTTAATCGTATTATAGTGAATGTATTTAATTTTGTAATAATTATTTATGAATCAAGGTCCACTTCATTTTCTATGAAAAAGGAGGAGTCATCTAAACTGCTTTGAATTTAAACCACAACAACAACAAAAAAAGGAATGTGTCTTTGTGTTTTAATTTTTTTTTTTTTTTCCCAAATATCAAAACGAAGCCAAGAAAAGAAAGAGGAAAAAAAAAACTGTTTACACTGTTCAGTGCTTTGGGGCATCAGAGAACTGTATTAATTTGTTCAAACTGTAAAACTGCGTTTATTTACAGGAGCAGCAGAGGAACAGTTCGACAACGGCGATCCGTGTGTATATACTGTTTATTAATGTCAATATTATGTCTTGTTTGCAACGATGTGTAAAAATTGTTTAAGAATATTAAGATATTGTTTATGCCTTAGAATGATTGTAGCATTCTATTTTAGTGAACGTGATGAAAACATTATCATAAATATTGTTTGTACAGTATATACATATCCTCTGCAAACACTGTGGTATCCTTAATCTTGGTAGTGCCTACCCTTCCAACAGGGGCATGTAGGGGATGTTGTTGTTTTTTTTTTGTTTTTTGTTTTTTGTTTTTTTAGTTTTCATTCTTACGACAATTATTTTTTTAATATGATTTAAATCTGACAGGGCCTCCAAAGTGGGACAGTAACACAGAAATCATTCCTCACCTCAGCAGAGAAACAAAAGGAGCAACAAGAGTTCGGTTTCACTTCCACGATGCATTTCCTCAGAATCTGCCACAATACAGAGGACCTAAAGGCCATTTGTAACCACTGTGTTGAACCTTGCTGTGTGTCGTGGCCTGATGGAGGCAGCTAGATTTTTTTGTACCCAAGTCGAAAGTACTTGAAGTTACTTTATTTAAGATATTGTGGAATAAAAGTATCATTCTTTTGTAGGAGCTTTATTTTTCACTAGTGTGTGGCACGGACCTATTAAAAGGATGTTTTTCAACGTAAGCGTCTTACACTTGATTCATTTCAGTTTCCACTTCACATAGTTGCTGCTTCTGTTTTGGATTACCGGATTAATAACCTTTATTCTCTTTCCAAGACGAAATTAAAGCTCGGCATGGGTGTGCTGCTTAACCTAAGAGTATGATGCAACCCGTGATGGAATAAATTGACAAAACTGGTGCCAAAAACAGAGACACAACATATTTTCTAAACTCTAAACCTTAAAAATTAAGAAAATAAAGAGTAAACATGAGTGGCAAAATAAAACATGAACTTCACAATATAATACATAAAGTATACAAAACACTTTCATTGTAAATATATACAAGAGCAGTTGCACAAATGTTTACCTTTAGCATGTAAATGGTTATTAATGTATTCTTTAGTTAAATGATTTTACATCAAAATATTAGGAAAATACTTGAAGTAAAGTATTCATTCCTATTGTGAGTACTTCAATGTCCACTATGACCTAGCTTCTTGTTTTGCAGAGTGATAAAATTACGTGAGCAGTTTTACAAGCAATGGGAGGTTTTCTTAATCTTAATGCAGAAACAAAGACAATTTATTATTTTGTTGCATTTCTATTTGAAGAAGAAGATAAATTAGATTCTATATCTCTAAAAAAATTTCAAAGATAAGGGGGGCCTGATCACTTTTTTTTTATTCTGCAGAAAAGTGCATCTATTGATGATAATGCATTGGTAAAAATACACCAATGCATCATCATTGTTCAACTTGTGATTTGAACAAATAGTCTTCAAATCACTATTCTGCATATCAGAGCTCACCTGTTCCGCAAAAGAAGAAGTGATGCTGCTTTTGTCAGCAGCCAAAAGGAGATATAGATGTCTCTGTCCCTTTGTCTTCCTCTCCTTCCAGCCTCAGGTAGTGAAGCAGATGCTGAGAACCACAACAAGGCTGCAGGTCCAAACAGAATCTTCCACAGGTTCCTGAAAGTCTATGCAGACCAGCTATGTGGGATCCTACAGCACCTCTTCAACCACCACCGAAGTGTAATTTAAAAGCTAAGCGCATTATCGAAGTATTATAGTATTTAATAAAACCCTAAATTAATTAAAAAGTTTGATTTTAAAAACAATCGGTTTTGGTATAAACATAATAAGCACTATTACTGAATGTAAAACATTTTTTAAATTCATTTGAATATGCGATTACCACTTCCTATTTCCGAGCTACAACGAACGCAGCATCGGGAAGACGCCATGACGTCACGGTCAGCTGAACAGAGAGGAAGTAAACAGTGAGTAACAGAGACGGACAGAGACGAGGAAGATTTACGTTCGCTCTTGTTGAACAATAACAGGACCCGGTCTACTGACTGGTCTTTTTTCTTCTGCAGTCTGTTTTTTTAGGCTGGTTTTAATTATTTATATACGTATATATATTGCATAATGGTAGAAAGTAGCGTCATCATCCGGAAGAACCGTTAGCTTGTAAAGCAGCAACAATTAGTTGTTCTGGTGTTTTAGTTAATTTATTTAAGATCTCCTGGCAGAGAAAAGGTGATAAAACTTTTGGGTTATTATTTCATTCATCTCTGTTTCATTTCGTAAAAGGGAAATAACACAGACATAAGCTGTCAGGATTCATTTTTAGCGAGGGTGAATATTAGTGATAATATTCCTCCAGGCTATTTACCTGGAGGAATATTAATTAGCCTGGATTATCTGTCTCTCGGTTGTTGGCGTCACACCATCCTGCCCTGTTGTCAAGAGTCTGATCAGGAGCAAACGACGAGATTTATCAAACTGCATGTGGGAACCAGGATTCCTACATAGTCTTAAAAAGTATGGATATTAATTTGACAATTTTCCCCATATTCTGGCGATATGGAGGAAAAAAAGAAAGCCGAGTCTGGAAAACTGCTTCTACACTTTCCTTCATCTTTTTCATTGAATGGAAATGTGACTTGCTTGAACATAAACTGTTTCATGCTGGTTTCTATTTGTTCGTACTTAGATTGCTTTAATTGTGCTTGTACTGCCGCATCAAAAATAAACTATTTGTCCTCCTAAATGATTAAGATTAGATTCATCTAAATTCATGGGAGATGATAATTTGGTGATTATCAGGCTTGTAGACCTGCAAACAAATTCCAGCCTTTGGAATTTTATAAACAAAATAAAAGTTATAAAACTTATGAATTGACTTAAAGAACCTGTATTTGTTGTCATTGGTAACCCAGGCTACATTTAACAAAATATAGTATCCCTGATTTTAAAATGAGGTCTACTTGTATATATGTATGTGGTTTCCATTATTTGGGGTACATGCAGATAGTAGAAGTTCCCTAGGAAAAGGTTATTTGCTTGGCTATCAGTAATGTCATGCTTGTGATACCAGTTTCAAAAAAAGGGATGATTTTGTGCAGACGTCTTTGTTAAATTCTCTGCTTAACTTATTCGAGGTCTCATTCTGGTTCTGTTCTTGATCCAAGGTCCTCCAGACTTTAGCGTTGGCTCTGCGGATGGCGTCTGTAGTCTGCACCTTACGAGACCATCAAGACGACATCAACTGGTGCGCATTCTCCGCCAAACTGCTGGCTACCTGCTCCGGGGACAAAACCCTCAGGATATACAACGCTGACGACTTCTCCGAGTTGCCTTTCTCACCTCTGAAGGGACACAGCTACAGCGTCCACTGTTGCTGCTTCAGCCCCTGCGGCCAGTTCCTCGTCTCCTGCTCCACAGATGCGACCACGGTGGTGTGGTCCATGGTGACGGGGGACGTCGAGGCCGTCCTGGAGCATCCCGGCCGCAGCCCTGTTCGGATCTGTGCGCTGTCCCCCAACGCGGCCCACCTGCTTTCAGGCGCGTCTGACGGCACTTTGGCTCTGTGGGATTTCCACTCTAAGAGGCTGTCCAGGTAAAGTGAGGCTTTGTGTTTCCTGGGAGCTAAACATTGTTGTTCAATTGCTCAATGACATGAAAGCAAATTTGTTTCTATTGTTAGTGATGCAAATTTGTTTCTATTGTTAGTGATGCAAAAATACAGATACTATTTCATCTATTTTCTAAGAGAAAATGAATATTTTCAGCAAATTTTTAGTCAGAAGAAAGAATTTGTTTAGACTAAGAGCTGCAGTTTCATGCACTAGTTAAATGCAGAGCTATTCTGTTTATTTTCAAATACAGCATAATAATAAAATTGCTTCATAAAATGAACCACAAAGTCAGTGCAAACAGCTCTTCCCTACACCACATGGAGCAGTGCTGTGACAATATTTGCTCATGTTGTCGGCACCAGATCTGTTCGACTCTGAACGGTGATGAAAAGCAAGCTGTTTGTTCAGCTGCTGTTGTTTTTTTTTTTATTTTTATATGTTTCATAAAGGACTGGAGGAGTGAGAGACACAACCATGGTAGCTTGCTCCTTCAGCCCTTGCAGTCAGATGTTCATGACGGGCTCCACCTATGGAGATCTGCGTCTGTGGGACCTGCACTTAAACCAACTCCTCGCAAAGAAGGACGCCCACGACCTGGGGGTGTCCTGCTGCAGCTTCGCTCCCAGCTTCCTCGGCGGTGAGAACTCTAGTTGTGGATTTATATAAAGCGCACAGTCCACTACTATAAATAGAGCTTCTTTTAAAATTACCTCTCAGGAATTAAGAGATCAGTGGAAATAGAAAGGCAATATTTCTCTGAGATTGGTCTTTGGATTAATTGTATTTGTTTTTTTTTTTTTTTAGGCAACCAAGTTGTGCAGTTTCATTTGGCATCTTGCGGACAAGACTGTCACCTGAAGATCTGGGCTATTAACAAGTTCACCTCTGGAGGTACAAATGTATTTATGTCAAATCTGACAGCAGAGCAACATATGGATCATAATGGCACACTATAAAAACACCAGTCATTGTGTCCATCTGTATAATCTCAAGGAAAAATCTCGGGGGGGAAAGAAATGAGAGCGCTGAAAGACAGCAACCAATTAGCCGACTGTTGAGTAACAAAGTTGCCGTTGTGATTAGACTAATCTGATATATTGATTAGCCCCTTGAGGCCGAATATTAATGACCAGTATCCTCAAAAGAGCTAAACTTAATCTGTGATAAATCGCCACCAAATTATGAGGACATGCAAAGAAAATAAAAGTAAAGTTCGATTTTTACCCGAATCCGTGCCATTCTACTCAGAGTGACAAGCAACACTCCACCCACTGGGATTAGTTTTAAACATCACTTACTGGTGACATTTAAACCTGTGCAGAACCACACTTGTTGCTTTACCTTGCAGGCTTTAACATGGTGCTCCTACACACACTAACCGGGCAGACGGCTCCGGTCTTCTGCTGTGCGTTCTCCTCTGACGGGCAGCTGCTTGTGTCTGGGTAAGAGCCTAGCTTGAAGAAGAAATAAGAAGCGGGTCTCATCCTTTCATTCTCTCTCTCTTTTTTTTATCTTCACAAAGCATCCTCTATGCTTGTAAAAGGATGCACAGCTGCAGATTGTAAAACTGTGTGCAAATGCTCTACAGAGAGACCAACACTTGGTTCCTTTTGCTAGTGAAGCTCTAAACATTCTCTTGCCATATGCTTAATTTAATTTGAAATCACTCTCTGATGTTTAATAGGTCAGGCTTTGTGTCTTGATCTATTTATGATCAAGCTATAGATTTATGTAGACTGTTTTACTTGAACATGCGCAGAAGGCAGGCCACCTTCTACATATTTATAATTGCAGAGTTTCTTTGAAACCACTAGAGGGAGACAAATGATCAGGGTTTTTTTTACCCCCCCTCAAAATGGAGAACCTGGGTTTGAATTCATGTTTTAGAACTGAACTGATTTCTCATTTTTATTTCTTGCAGCTCAGTGGACAAAAGCGTAAAAGTCTACGATGCAGTGAGTTTCTCTTGCTCACATCAGATGTTTGCTTTTTTCCCCCTGAATCCATGTTCCTCACGTTGCCTTTATGCCGCTTTTTTTTTCTCAGAATAACGCCGTTCTGCTTCACACACTGAACCACCACGAGAGGTAAATATTTATTTGTTTCGATGTTGTTAATTATAAGCACTTTTAAACTACAGTTTTTAATTGCAAGAGAAAAAAAAAAAACTGTGATGAGACGGCAAACTAATTATTTCGACCTTTTTTAGCAATGCGTCGTTAACAGAAAAGAACAGAATGACACAGAAGTTTTCGGGTTCATTTGGATTATTTTTGTTTATTTTTTTTTGAATTAGTAATACTTTAAGAAACTTTACATTTTAATAGACTGAAAAATACATACATATATTACGCTGCATCACTGATTCCGAACATTGCCTTCCGTTTTTAAATGCGTAGGACCGCGCTCTCTTCCCCCCTACACTAACAGATCAGTCACAGATGAATGATCACACAAGCCGTTTACAACCATTCAGCCACCTGTGTCTGAAAGGCATCGAGCTCCTTTCAGTGGGGGGCAAGTGAAGGTGCTTTTGGGGGAGAGAAAAATAAATATCTGTATCTAAAATAGAAGCAGGAAGATAACAGAAGAGGAAAAGAAGTAAATCAAAACTTAAAAAAAAAAAAAAAAAAGGCTTCCCGGAAAGTCATTTGACTCTAGATTTAAATTCAGACAGAGTCTTGATTGGAGGTTTAGAGGAGCTCTCCTCTCGGCTTCTGTGTGAAGCCAAGGAGCTTTGGTGGATCAGCATTTCTCAGCAATCCAGCTTAGGTTTTAGAGAGCTCTCCCTCATTAACTCTGCCTTTGCCTTTTTAAATCAAATTTTGAAATTTGGGTCCCGAACTGTCTGGAAAGGCTCTTGAATTAAGTGTTTCTTTCAGGGCTTGAAAGGGAAATCAGTGTGTGCCGGGCAGAGCGTGTTTTTAATTTGAATTTGATTGTAATATTTCAGATCATCAGAAAAAAAAAATAATGTAAGTAAATATAAGGTAATTTATTTACCTTGTATTTACTTACAAGGTAAATTAATTACCTTGTAAGTAATTTATTTACAAGGTAAATAAGTAATTTATTTACAAGGTAAATAAGTAATTTATTTACAAGGTAAATAAATTACCTTGTTTTCACATACCTTAGTTTTCACATCATATCGGTGATAAGTCACAGGTGGAGAGTTGAGTGGAAGGAAAAAGTGTGCTAGGAAATGAAGAGATAATTATTCCCTTTAGAGAAGCTTTCCATGTCTAGCTTTCTGTAGAACATAATTTTGGATATTATTCATGTGCCTGACTCCCGCTGCAGGTATGTGACAGCGTGCGCCTTCCATCCAACAGCGCCGCTGATCGCCACCGGATCCATGGACAAAACCGTAAACATCTGTCGGCTGGAGGACGGACGCAGGGGTGAGGAGAGAGCAAAGGCTCAATAAGCACACCATGAAGAGTAGCATATGTTTACTTATTTATGAAATAAGCACAATATCATACAAACTGCCCTGTCATCTCATGTTGTATTTCCCTCCTTTATGCCATGCTGTTCGGCGGAAAGACGGGAAGTCGTTGCCTGGTTAGTTTTGCTTTTTATCTTCAATGTTAGCGTGCTGTTGTTACCTTCACTCTCCTGGTGATTATAGAAAATAATTGGTGAAATCAAAACCTGTTATTTAAATCTGGGTTCATTAAACAGGCCTCTCAGGCTAGTAGAGCCAATTTATTTATTTATTTTCATTTTAGTCCAGCTCCACCTGGCAGCGAGGGACTCAGGTGTTGTGTGCTTGAGTGCTCTCTTCGTTACACCTCAGCCTCAAGTGTCTCTGGTTGCTTTAAAAGTACTTTGCCGGGCTCTTGCTCTCAGTTTTGCTTTCGTTGCTCTCTGACTTAAAGAATAGTCTGTGGAGACACCCTTTGAATGTGAGAGATTAACAAAAAAAAAAAAAAAAGAGAAGAAAATCTGTTTAGCTTAAAACATAGGAGGGGATATTTGAATGTTTTTTCCTAAAAGGTGCTGCAGCCGCCAGCAGCTGACCTGACCGCCCTCTCGCCTTGACTCGCCCTCTCAGGAAAAGCCGCGGCGGGCCGGTCGAAGCTGCTGGTCGCCGATTGGTCGGAGGGGGACGTGTCAGAGTGGCTGGCCGAGGAAGGGCTCCAGGGATTGGTGGACAAATTCAAGGCCAATAACATAGACGGGACAGAGCTGCTGAGTCTCACCAAGGAGACGCTGGCGTCAGAGCTGGGCATAGGTGAGGAAGACAAATGTCACAGTCTGCTCAGCGAGAGCAGCACCACTTGTTCACCTCCTCCCTCTCTTGTGGTTCTCACGCTCATCTTTTTTGTCTCAGACAGAAGAAGAAATTAAAGCACCGATCTTGTAAGAATTGACAAGGAAATGTGCAGGGATTAGGATTTTTTCTTAACCTATCCTCGCAGATAAAGGGCAGTGCAGTGGATTAGAGTGCGGGAGAAGGAATGAGTGTTGGCGCGGGGTTTCACTCAGCGAGATTACATAATGTTAGGCTGAAGGCGCCAAAGCGCTCGGCTTTAAAGACTCTGGTCAGTCCTGGCTTTAATCTGGTGCACTTTGTATGTTACATAACCCAATCCTCAAAGCAGAATTTCCCATAAGTAATAAAGTGGATTTTCCGCCTAATATCATTAAGCCCTTTTGGTTATTTCTGTGTTTGTTTAGAATTATTTTTCTTTTTTAAATTTATTTCTATCGCATAGTTTAGCTCTTTTATTGTTTCTGTGTGTTCGTGAAGCGATGCCACAAAGGCTGAAGTCTGAGTGTTATGTTGTTGATTTCAGTCTACCAGCTAAGGCATCATTCGTCACGCAGTTCTCGACGCGCGTTTGCTGTAACGCCACGAAATGTCGTCATATCCATCCCACAGTCGCTGTCAATCACTGCTCAGTTTACACAGCATCAGCGCGGTGACAGCTTGTGTTCACATTGATCTGTTTTTAGCAACGCAGCATGAATCCCACCTTCTTAGCGGAGCTAAGTTGGAGAACAGTGCCGAGTGGCATCGTGTTTTATCTACTGCTATGACAGACAGACAGAGGGAGGGAAGGAGGAGTCGTGTTTTTTTTTTTTCTTCCCCAATGGTGGACTCAATCGACTCATGCTTTGCTTCCTAAAAGGTAGAATGGCACTAGTAGGTTTGCCAGGGACGTAAAAACAAACAAACAAAAACAACAGTTTTGTGTTCATCTGTTAATTATCTCCAGTCTCTTCTGCACTTTTTCTTCTTGAGGCTTTTCTGCCTGTTTGCTGTGTAAACTGGACAGACGTGCTTTGCTCCCGCGGCGTTCACTCTCACCCACGCTCACATTTGCCATTCAGGAGTGAAAATTGATGAACGCAGGAATGACAAACGCTCAAGACGCTCAGTGATATGAATTGTGCATGGACGTGTTGGGTCAAGAGCACATTTTCTGCTGTGACATATTTCTGTGTCCTTTTTGTGTGCGTGTTTTGTTTAGAGTCTGTCGGCCTGCGAGGTAAACTCCTGAGGAAAGTGGAGGAGCTGAAAAGTGGTTCAGTTTGCTCGGGGGTTCCTGATGAGTTTCTGTGTCCAATCACCAGAGAGCTTATGAGGGAACCAGTTATAGCAGCTGGTAGGTCAACATCACCGCTTGAACACTTTTTCACATTTAGCCGAGCTTTTACTACAAAACTAAATTCATTTTATTTGGATTTCATGTAAGAGACAAATACAAAACACATAATAGTCATGAATTTAGGATCTATTATAAATAAGAGTTGTAAAAATAAGGTTTATATTTTCATTCAGAAACTTTTTTTTTTTATTTGGAAGAAAAATGCTCTGCCTCCAGTTGCCTTCAGGGGTCACCTAAATATTAATCTGAGTAACATCAGTATCAACACAGCTGCTAACAGGTTCTTTAGAGAATATTAGCAAACAAACATCACAATATAGGAAATAAATAAATATTTATGGTGTTGGATATTAGAGACAGCTTTTCTATCCATCATCTCAAAAGGGAAAGACTTGGACTTTTAGTTGCAGTTACAGGGAAGCAGCAACAAGGGTCACTGTAACTCTGGAGTAGCTACTGTGATCCAAAGCTCAGGTGGAGGAATCTGTTGATAGGACAAAGTCTAAAAATGTGGCCTGCATGGAAGATTGCTCAATTGTTGAAGAATTTCCCGCCTCTGTTTTGCTGCAAACCATTGGGAAGAGTTTCCCTTCCAGATCTGGCCATCCTGAAGGAAAACTTAAAACTGCAAAAGATGAGAAACGGGGAAGGAGTTTCACTTTCCAGCTTCCAGAGATGCAATGGAATCTGATGTGGCTTGAGCTATTTTGAGAAAAAGGGCAAAATTTTGTGGGTTTTTAATTTGTACAAAAAAAAAAAAAGACTTTACAATAATGCACCACTTTGTGTTGGTGTACTACAAAAAGTTGCAAATCACAAGACATTTAAATCATGTTTTCACCGACCCTACCTGCTCCAACAGACGGCTACTCGTATGAAAGGGAGGCGATTGAGAACTGGATCCACACCAAGAACCGTTCCAGCCCAATGACCAACCTTCCCCTGCTGACAACACTCCTCACACCCAACCACGCCCTGAAGATGGCCATCGGCCGCTGGAAGACCAGCCAGTAGCATCCTGAGCTGGTCGGCGCGTTTCCTTCTGAAGTCGATAGAAACAAGACATTCTGCTTCTGCTTTATTCTCATGCTGAAGTTCTTTGTGGAGGAGCAAAGCTGGATTAGGTAAGTATGAAGATTAAGTGTAGATCTGTCCGACAAACATCGGAGGCTGGCAGCTGCAACACAGCAGAGACCCAGATCTGTTTGTCAGCACTGTTGACAGACAATGTGTTGCTAATCACATAATAAATGTGGAATTATCAGTTTAAAAAGTCACAAAAAGGAAAACTTTTCATTAGTTGGTTTTTATTCAAGTTGCAGTTACGTTTATATTTACTTTATAAGTGGGTTCACATTGATGTCAGAACAAATTAGAGGAGAGTGATATGATGTTGGATCATAAAGTACGAGAATGTGTTCTGAAAAGTCAAAGTTGGTAAAACTGAACATCTGTTGTCACCTGCCTACCTTATATCAGCATCAGGAATATTTCCTTAAGTCTTAATATTAATCAATATTAATCGAGCTGTGAGAATCTATCGTCGGAGAACACGGTGATGTTACCCTTCGCCTAAACTTATTTCTAGAAACGCTGCGTTAAACATAAATATGTTCATTTTCAGAAATGAGACCTTTACCTGAAATACCACTGATCACCACTTGGTGCATATTTTGGAGCATCTCTGGCCTCTGATTGTGACTTGCACTTAAAATCTGTAAAGAGGATGATTAAAGTTACAGTGCCAAATTTATTGGTACCGTTAATAAAGACTTGTAAAGAAATATTTTTGCTCAAAAGATGTAATTTTCTAAGACATTTAAAATCCGGTCAGAATTATTATTCATTATTATTATTTTTTTTTTTTTACAGAAGATGTTATGCTTTTAGTTTACAATATTTGCTCATTTCGGTGCAGGATCTGTTGTTGCGAAGTCGTTTCTTGGCTCCACATACGGGGAGCGACAACACCGGGCCAAAACCGTTTAAGCTTTACTTCTCGGGAACATCTGTCAACATCCAATTACATTCATTAAAACTGTGTGACATTTATATGCGGCAACGTATGAAGTTTAATTAAAGCAGTCGCTGTCGTTTTGCTTTAATGTGAAGATGGACAACAGTTTTTCCATTCATATGCATGTCGGCGCGCAATCAAGGTTTTTGAATTTTACTGTGAAAGAAGCAGATATGGAAATGCAGTCCTTCGTTAATATATATTTTTTTATTAAACCACAGTTATAATGTGGCAACACTGTGTGTATCATAGCATAACTCTGCAAAGAGTTTATGAACATAATGCAATGTAATAAGTCTCTTAAGGTTTATCTGTCCTACATTCGGTGACTTCTCTCTTTGCATCCTTTTAAACTCACGAACACTCGATCTAAATATGTTCTCTGCTATGTAAAAATAAATAACATACTATATACTGTGAATATCGATGCAGTAATGTCCAGTTACGACAAGAGCGTTCCGACAATGTCATTTACAGTGCCATTTCTTATCAAATGTACCAAGGAGGAGAATCTTAAAGTCCACAAAGTAATCTCTGTTGAAGCCTGCAATGCTGACAGATAAATCACCTACAAGGAAATATATTATCTGCAAAGGTCGTGTACACCGTACAAATATAGATGTTTTTTAAAAGACACTTGACAATAGAAATGGTCATAACCTGTAGCTAACAGCGTGAGGTTTTCGTCTATTCGTGCACAAAGCTTCCTCTGGCTTATTTATTTCATATAATTTGCTAAAAGTTGACAACATACTCCGTTCTCTGTTTTAAATCTCTACTTAAGGTATGTCTGGTTTCCATGAATACACTAGTGTGGCTGTATACGTGTAAGCAAAAGCATCGTAGCCTGAGTTCTGGTTCTGGTTCTAGATTGTATATGCAGTTGCAGCAGCAAAAATCTACAAAAACAGGCTCAGGGAAGGGAGCTGCTCTCAGATCAGTCTCCTTGCTACCTTATGCGGTGACTCAAGCACAACTGTGCTCTGACGAACTCCACTCAGACGTTGGACTCTATAAACGAGCGTTTGGGTTTGATGGGAGCCATGTGCAGAGCCGGGTTGTCCCTCGTGAGGCTCGCCTGTCTGTGCCGGCCCTCAGGAAAGAGTAGCTGGGAGGATGCGGCGCCTCTGCTCTCTCTCTGATTGGTTCGCTCTCCGAACTCCCGGGCCTGCAGCTGGCTGCTGGAGAGCTGCTCCTGGAAGGAGGCGCGTTTAAACTCGCTGCTCAGCCCCTGGAACTCCATGACGGACATGCTGAAGCTCTCTGCGCCTCCCGGTCCCTGTCGGCCCATGCTGGAGCTCTGCTGGCTCTGGACGCGCACCGCCTTGTCCATGACCCCCATGAAGGGCCGGGGCTTAAGCTCGGGCTTGGCCTTGAAGCTGCCGCTGCTCTTGATGGGACACTGGGCCAGGTCCGGCCCCGGCTGCCTGCCTCCGCCGTCTGACAGGTTCCCGCTGGAGGCCTGGCTGGAGCTGGAGCCCCTTGAACCCGCCGTCCCCTGTCCTCCGCCGCCATCCCTCCTGCTGTCCAATCCGGAGCCCAAAGCCAGAGCGAGGCTGTCCAGAGGGCCGGAGTGGGCGGACAGTCTGTCGGAGCCTCTGGAGAAGCTGGAGGAGCGCGGCTGGAACATCTGGAGAGGCCCGGGTGGGGAAGAGCTGTTGGGGGACAGCGGGTGGTAATGCTCGGTGGGACTGTGTCGTGAGTGTTCGCTGGCTGACCCGGAGCAGATGTCTATCCCGCCCGGAGGCGCTGGCCTCAGGGAGGTGGAGATGTGCCTGCCTGGTAGAGGGCTGGACGGGCCACAGAGAGACATGGGCCTGACCACGCCTCTGCTGCCCGACTGCAGAGAGTGGCAATTGTGATGAGTCCTGCTGCTCTGCGTCTGTCTGCTCACGCCGTGGGCAGGTTCAGACGGGTCCACAAACAGCTGGTTCTGAATGAAGTCGTCAGGTGGGAAACACGGAGACTGATCAGGCAAACCAAACGTCACGCCTCCGGGGAGCGTCCGGTTAGGACCGTACGGATTCAGAGGCCAGAACTCCGGACTCTTCCCACCGTGGAGACCCACCTCGTCCCCTTCCTCCCTGTCCTCCTCCCTCTCCGGATCGAGCTGCTCCACTGGGATCGGCCTCTCCAGGCTGCCCTGCGAATAGACGTCTGCTTCCTCCTCTGTGGGCTGGTGATGGTGGGCGTGAGGGTCCCTGCTGTAACCCGGCGCCGCACTGTTGCCGACTAGCTTCTGATGATGTTTGCATTCCTCCTCTACTCGCACCAGCAGGCGGCGGATCTCCCGGTTGGACGGGCAGAGTCGTGCTGCTTCGTGGAGGTCTGCCAGCGCTGCAGCAAACTGCCTGAAGAGGACAGGGGGAACCAAGAGAGGCTTTTTAAAGCAAAATACTTCACAGAGCCACAGAGGAATTTCACATGAATTGCTCTAATTTCACATAACAATAAACTGAACGTGGTATTATTTACCTGCTGCTCCTCTTGGCCCGTGCTCGGGCGTAATAAGCCTCATAAGACCGGGGTTTCAGTTCCAGAGCTTTAGTCGCAAAATCTTCTGCAATGCCAAAATCCTGCGTTGTCACAAAGAACCATCGTTTTAGCTACACTGATGTTAAAATGCATCGTCAAACAAGTTGTGGTATCGAACAAAGGTAAGCCTGAGAAAAATCTAAACGTATGCCGTGGGATATAATTTAGATTTAGGTGCCCACTTTGACTAGGCCACTCTAAAATCTGGGATTCGTTATAAGGTGAAATATTGATCAAATATTCGTCTTCATGGGTAGTGAGCAGAATTTATTGGCTTCTTAGAACCGCACCATGTACCATAACTTTAAGTAAAAAAGAAAAAAAAAAAAACTTTTTTTTTACATTTGTTTAAATTCTCTCCAGGTGAAAAAAATAAAAAATCAAATTCCTCTGCCTCTTTTTTGTGATCTTATTGCGCTCTGCACAAATAAGACGCTTGGTCAGAAGTAACCAATCAGGGCCAGGAGGACTTAGCATGGCCACAGATGATGGTGAATAAACAGTTTTTTCTGTAACAGTAAACTATTCTGCCATCATTAGCACATTCAGCAGCATGTGCACAAGCTTGACTGACAGCGCTAAGACCTGCCTCCAGGCTCCGATTGGTTGTTTTTGACTGAGAGCGTTGCATTTCTTCAGACGGCAATAAAGCCCTGGGAGGAATTATTTTTGTAACATTACGTACTGCAGCTTTAATTTTGATACGTTTTCTGTATCCTGAACTGTCACACTACCACCATCATGTTTGGTTGTGGATTTTCTTTTTTCTGAAATGTTCGTTTTATGCCAGCTCTTGTACGCCTTCCAAAAGGTTCTACGTTTGTCCCGTCAGACTTCAGAATATTTTGCTAAATGTCAGGTTATTGACATCAGTGGATTTCCTTTTCTCTCATGGACGCCATCTTTGTCCAGTCTCTTTCTTATTTTTTAATCGTGACCTCTGACCTGGATTGTGAGTCCTTTCAATGTAGTTCTCTGGAGCAGTTTGGTAGCCTCTACAGTGACTAAACGTTTCTTTAGATCAGGCTGTGATGTGATGCTTTTTGACATTTTTTAACTGGTTATATTTAATGGCAATAATCAGACCTGATTAAAATGTGGTTGATTGCCATTAATTTATGTTTTAATAAGGGGCACAGAGTGTATTTTCACTCAGAGGAACCGACATTTTGTAATAATTCACATTATTAGCTGAAGAAAAAAGAAACGAGAGATATGCAACGCCGCTAACACGTTTTCACAGCACAGTCAGACGCCGTGCTGGAGCCTCAATCATTTTTATTGACAAGAAGGAGAGCGAGTGAAACAGGCTGAGAGCTGCTGCTTGTTTTCCTGCAGGTTTCTTCTCCTCCTCTCATCACTCCCAGGTGAATATTTAATGGCACCGGCACAATGTGAATTTGTCCTTGGAAAAGAGGTTGAAACGACGGCGCAGAATTCTGATAACCGCTGATGAATGTTTAATGACAGTATCATGTACTCTCTCCCACGTTGGCTCTTAAAGCCAAAAAACATTTGAGTTACAACGATGAGGATTCGGCCGACGCACTGTTAATACGCCGCCATGTCGAAGCGCACAGAAAGGGAGAGCGCTCCTGTCGGTCGGAGAGAGTGACCTTATCACATCATGTTATTTGCTCCATTATTCATCGGCCGCAGTGACCCTAAGGATGGCATTTTTACACAGTCTGTTAGGACGTCTGTCATCACCAGGGTGGTTTCTAAACCTGGCTGCAGGCCACACACATCTGTCTCCACGCTAAC